CGTGCTTCTTGGGTCGCTCCGACTACTACGTGCGCACGACCCCAACTCACTGTAGCCGCCCATCTCGTGGTTCGAGCCGTGACTACAGTTTCATCTGGGCTGCAAGCATCGGAGTTATGACGGCAACACGCCTGAAGTTTTTGGCTGCTTGTGGACCAATTAAACAATTCATAATAATAATAATAATAATAATAATAATAATAATAATAGTCCTATGTCTTCCAAGTGGGCTCTTTCCTTCACTTTCTGACTAAAACAATTTAAGTATTTCACATCTGTGTTTTGAATGTTCAGACCATCTTATATCTCTTTATTTGACCTTCCTGCTGTAATTTGTTAAAGTTTACAAATTATTTAGTCCTTGTTAAACACAGCGTATTCTGTAATTTATTGCATTTTTTAAATAACATCTTCGCCCTAAATTTTCCAGGTGAATGTAATGTGTTTACTTAAGTGCCCTGACGGTTTAATTATAGACTTCCAATTATAATTACTTGTGTATGGGATAGTTATTTCGAAATGATAACGCGTCATAAGAGAGGAAACTGTACAGTACTTAGTCCTGTTATTCACACCGCTTTATAGCAGGCAACGTTAAAACATAACATCATTAACAATTACTTCGTACATTATATCCTAATCTGTTTGTAGTCATGAAGATGTTGGGATATGGGATATAAAATTCAAACCGTATTTATAGGAGGCGTTGATATTCTCATCCTTTTTTAATGATTGAAAATACTAGTAGTAAAAATCACATTTTCTCAGTAACTCGATTTGTTTCTGCGTATTTGTTATGATGAAAACATTTTCTGTTTACTATGCTGTACAAGCCGGCGCAGTGGCCACGCGGTCTGAGGCATGGTCCTCGTGTGCCTGGCCGCTGGGACAGTGGGTTCGAGTCCCACTCAAGGCATGTATGTTTGTCCGCTTCTCCTCTTCTAGTCTGGCGGGTAAAGACTGGCCACGGAAGTCAAGGCGAAACCACCGTGGTACTTTCGCAAGAAAACCCCGAAAGGGGTCACGACGGTCAAGCTGACCATACATGATGAAAAAAAGAGGCTGTACTTGAGTAGTAAATACGTGATGGAAAAATCCTATATTCATCAGTTTCCTTTGCATTAACTACTTTGACCTCCATGTAAGGATCAGACGTGTACGGCCACTAGTATTGATGATTGTGTGCTAACGTTTTGGAATTCGTTGCAGGAATGGTTCTGAATGGTTACCTGCAGTAACTAACTGTGAGTTTTGGAGTGCTGATATGTCAAAGCCCGTGATTTCTTATTGTTTACTTAATAATTTCTGCAGGTGGTGTAGCAGAATTCTCCACTTATTGTATTGATAGTACTGTCTTGCATGGCTTTTTCGAGTCTCTTATAGGTGTATTTCACGTAAGTTTAAGTGGCGTATTTGTCAGATTGTCTTTTCTATAGGACCACTTCAATTATAAATTTCTATCGCAGATATTAAAAGTGTAACACGTTGCATAAATTAAGTATTATTACTGACAAAGAGTAATAATTTATTACTAGCAGGACTGAGTAAAGCTACTTGCCGCAATAACAATTTCAAGTGGAGTGAAAGGCATTGATATTCTTTATTTACATTTTAATAAGTATGATAATTATACCACTTAATTCATTCCCTTTTTCCTTTTATTCTTTAATTGGATCCGTTATGTATTTTTAGATTTTAAGCACAGAAGCACACTTAGTGTTAACTAGAACATGTTCGAAACCTTGGAGACGAGGTCTTTCGAAGATGTAGTTAGTTAAACAACAGGATTACCCCTTTATAACTAACTACTAAATACACTTTTAACCTTAAAGCTTGACGTATTATCTCCTCTACTCCTACCTGATAAATATAATTTTCTACCGACTAAAATCGAAAGGTAATATTTGTCGCTCATTCTCCAGACTGTAGTCAGTAACAATTCTAAGTAATCTCTTGATCTAATGACATGAAACGCCAATACAAAAACATGCAACGTGTTCTTATCTTGATGACATTAATTGAATTATAATTGTAACCCTATATTTACAGTAAGGGCCGCTGTTGTGACGCGATCTGAGGCAGGGACATCGTGCTCCTGGCCGCTGGGACCGTGGATTCAAGTCCCACTCAAGGCATATATGTTTGTCCGCGTCCTTACTCTTCCAGTCTGATGGGTTAAGGCTGGCCACGGAAGGCAAGGCGAAACCACCGTGGTATCTTCGCAAGAAACAACCTCGGAGTTGCAAACCAATCCTAGGATTGATAACCAAAAAGTGATAGTGGAACCACGGTTCCGGAGAATTTGACGTAAATACGTCTATACCGAAAGGAAGTTTATATATTGTCTTTATTCTAAATATTTACTTTACACATACTTTACAATTGAGTAAAGTTTGATTAAAATATTGTTTATTTAACTTGAAATAGTTACGCTTATGATGGGTCTGTGGTAGATGAATGTAATTCAATTCAATTCAATTCAATTCAGTTAATTTATTTACGTGTTTGCCAACAGCAAGAAGCCAATATAAAGTAATGTAATGAATGTAATGTAACGTTTCCTAGGTAACAACAATGCTGAGTAAACAGATGACGTTTTCTATGTAACAACAATGCCGAGTAAACACGACGTTTCCTAGGTAACCAGGTAATACTTTTTCGTTTCCTAGGTAACAGTAATACCGAGAAAACAATTGACGTTTCCTAGGTAACAACAATGTCGAGTAAACACGACGTTTCCTATGTAACCAGGTTACAATTTTTCGTTTTCCTTTCTCGTCACACTTTTTTGCCGAATGACCCTTCCGTATAGACGTATTTACGTCAAAAAAAATACAGTAAGACATAATTTGTAATGTTGTCTGACGTGTCTGTACCAACGGCGTATTGTGTAGATTAATTACAACGGAAGTCACAGTTCACACCGCCCTCATTAGAGTGCGTATACGTGAAATGATATGTATTTTAAAATTAAATAGACAATATAACACCTCTACATTGTTCAGTTACGAAATTTATTTAACTTGCTACAAATAATTAAATGAAATCTTTAATTAATAATACTTAATTGACACGTAATATTATTTTCGGAAATTATGTGAAATCTTCCTTGATAAATGGATGTGTAAGCGAGAAATATACTTCACACATATTGTATAATTATTGTTAAAAATAATTTTTAAGACATATCAGTGTTTATTAGATACTAGGTTCTGTTATAAAGAAACGATTTAATTTTAAATCACTTGATATATTACATATAATTTTAGATATTTTTATCATACGCAAATATTAATGGATTTTTATACGTCACGTAATCCTTTACATACTTCGGAGCCAGTGAAATATTAATTCTCCTACGAAGCAAGAGGACGATATGAAATGACCCAACATGAGCAAATAGAAGGCTCCCTGAAGATGCGTCAGGAGGAAAACAGAATAATCGTCCTGCAGAGTATGTCTCTTAATAGATCCTGCTTTAATTCTTGACGTAATCAGAATTTCCTTCCACCAGTAATTTATTAGTCCAGCTTCGTTTGCAACTGCAATCATCCTGTTTAAAATCTTTCGATATTTGCTGTGTTTCGGAAGATAGAAAGTTTTGTAAGCGGTAAAGGCTGGGGCTTTTATTGTGCAGAGAAGGCCCTTCCCTGAACGATCAAGAAATTTATATGTGTTCATATAGTGAACACTGTCGCTAGATAAAAGTGTCGCAAAATCACATTTCTCTGCAACTCTTTGCAAGCACGAAACAATATTGGAACAAGCTTCCCGCTGTTTCAATATTTCTGACAAAATTAAGTTAGTGTCATCCATTAGAAATGCATCCATATCTGGATGAAATCCGTAATAAATACCAGAATCGAGCAAACTTTTCACACTGTCAATTTGTTTTTGTTGTCCAGGGTTTACTAGGTAGGTGGTGACAAATGTTTGGAAAACCGTATTTACTGCAAGACTGCAGCTGACCCAAAGGATAAAGAATAACCTGAGAGGTATGGAGACTGGCATCTTCACAACAGACGTTCCTAGCAAAACGGCCCAGGCGCTAGTCAAACAACCGCACATATTCTTGTAAAGTTCTACCTCGTGGCTGGTGTTGGCTGAGAACACTGACAAACATAGCATTACTGCAGCAGCTAGAATCACGACGACGAAGACAAGTATCCACATGCCTGTCGAGAAGACCCTGGTGATGCTGCTCCAAGGAGGGTAAGGTTTCGCACAGGGAACGACCCAAACAAAATTTGCAGTTCCATAAGGTGTTGTGAAGTCCAGGTCTCCGAACTTCGTTATAACAAGCATGGTACTACTGAAGGCTATGTCAGCTCTGTTGTTATATACTTCTCCAAATATCCCAGTCCAGGAACCATTCTGAATTTTCCGGCCCCATAATTCAGGAGTCGGAGGCGTAAAAACTGCAGATGCGTTCATTGTTTGTGTTATATGCAGGAAAATTCTAACATCCAAGCCCCTATTATACGTCGTCCCATTTTTATGTTGATCGGATATTACATGAGGCTCCAGAGCTATGGTAGCTGCCGTTATAGGGCATCCCATTAAATCGCGAGGAATTTTTTCTTGGTACAGGGAAGCATTTTTACTAAAGTATCCCCCGTTTTTATTGATCCATTTGTCCAAGAGAATGACATTCACAAAGTTGCCACAGTTACCTGATGGTGGTTGATAAGGAAACCATGTATACACGTCGAATTCTTCCTCTCCGTCTTTTGATGGAACCAGGATTATGACATTCAGAATTTTCCACCTTATCATTTCTTCCACAATTGCCTGCATCTGCCGACGATTGTCCACAATGGGATCGTCCCATACGACCAGAAAACGTGTGTTAGGATTCCAGGCGTCGCCATATGATTTTAACTGCCGTAGCTGTGTGCCGATGCCGACAGACGTCCACAAAATGTAGCTCCCGTGTTTGTCGTGATTATAACATGGAACTTTAACACATCCAGTGTGGAACACAACGATGGGCCGCTGGACGGAATGATGCAGCCTTTTTAACAACAGACCTGTGGTATCTGTGTGTCTTGAGCTCAGTTTGTGCAGCAGTTCACTGTTCGGGAGCCGGGAAGGTACGGATAAAACCACAGAACTCCGCGGTGGAAAGAAGCGATTGCTGATGGTTTCAATGCAGTCTATGAGGTGTGGAAGGTGGTAGCAAGACTCTGCCCTCATTTCCAAGGTATACAAATATATGAGGACAAAGTTAAGAGTTTTGTAGCTGCGCATACTCCTCAGGATATATACAGATGATCTTAATTTGTGTACTGATTGTTAATTTTGCAAAGTACTTGTAATTAACACAATTCTCGGCATCTGTTTAGGAGAACATGTAATCACTTTTCCTAAAATTATTTTACAGTTTTGATTCTTAAAATTTCTTGGTTTTATTTAGTAAATAATATTCATTCTTTCATCAGAACCTGGACATGTCTGTAGTGTTGCTCTAAAGGTGGCTTTGCTGCATTTCCAATTCTTTCTCAATTAGCACTTCGTTGTGTAGTTACTTAATGTTCTCAAATCACTCTTACCTGATGCGTTAGTTGACAACACGTTAACTCATTTTCCTGAAATGAATACTTTTTTACACTGCATTCACCACGTATATGCGATTTTTAATATAACCGTTCATATTACTTTTAGTTTGTTTCAACTTTGTATTTGAAATGAAATCTGAATATTTTGATAAGCTCCAAGATTTGTAACAGTATTCATGAACATGTGAAGTACAACTAGCATTTCATTTATTTTGAGAAACGTATAATGTATAGCATCTGCGTTGAGTATAAGCTACCTCAGTAGTCAGAATCATAATGGCACCCAATTGTACAATGGAAACAAACTAAGTTGAAGCATGACATGCAATTATCCCATTCGTTTATCCTTGGAAAACTGTTATTGATTGAGTAGCACTACTAAGGCTGCTATCTACACACAGAAACACGCACACACACAAACAGAAAATACCATTGTTAGGCCGGTGAGAAAATCGAATGACTTGCAGATAATCTGATAACATAAATTGAGTCCGTACTTGGGGTAATTTTCGCGTTACAAAAATGAAGTCAGTTGTCAGTTATTCATCCATCAACGCTTATAACACCTCTGTCTTAAATTAAAATATTTTACTCGTAGGAAGCCCCGTTGGAATTCGACACCTAATGTTTTCTTTCATACCTTCATCCCAGAAAAACCTTCCTTTCTCTTTTAACCCTTCCGCGCCTTTTAACTCTTCCTTTCTTTATACTGTATTCCTGCCATTTTCCTTGCAACATACTACTTTAAGGGAAATCAATAAAAATCAGCCTTTGTATGTACTTCATTGTTCCATAGATAGCAAGAAGATTATTTTTGAGTATCCGATAGTTTATGAGATTTAAGGTTCTCACGGCTGTTCGGATGTCGTTGTTGGTAATCTGAGTTTCAACGTCTTCCATACTTGTGGGTATATTCCAAAATTTCAGAGGAAAATACTGCCTTCCTCTTCAGGCTTAAACGATCTATTCCTACAACATGCTAGGGAACATCATGTTTATGTTCTCGCCATCTCTAAGAAGATTATAAAAATACGGACCTGCGATTTTGATAATGGATGCGAAAGAAAACAACGAAAAAAGTCTTCAAGCATCAGTCTGGCTCTGACATGATGCAGACTAAGCACTGTATGTCTGGATAAGGCATGAGTTCGTGCTTAATCAATGCACAGAGTTTACAATACGCACAAAACTAAAACGTTGCCATGGGTTTCTCGGTTGTGGATTGAGTTATCGATACAGTTAACCTGGTGTATTAAAATACATTTTGAAGAAGGACAAAGAGCAGAGGAGAGGAGATTAATAAAATCTCTTAGTTTAGCTGTATATGAAAGATCTGCTCGCTGTTTCCCAAGAATTTGGGTATTGTATATGTTAAACATTTTTACGGCAAGCCATTCCCGACTACACATACTCACTCTGGTTTTGCTAAAGTCTGCATACGTTTTGGCATATTTTTACTTTATGCTATAGAATCTCTTTTTGTATATTTCTATCGTTCTCTTGTTCTATCTACGTAGCTAATCTAATTTTGCGTCTATCCATTTTATCTTCTAGTGGCCATATTATTAGTTCTGTGTAATGTTAACTAGTCCAATACTATCTTAAATTGATCATAAGTATCTCAGATCTCCTGGTCGTATTTTATTTGAATTTTTCTTTATCTGCCGAACATTCTTTTCTATATGGTAAAGTTGACAGGGTTCTTCTTAAAGTACAACATATTTCGTCATACTTACTGAGATTATTATTAAGTCCTTGTGGCTTCGCTCTGATTTAAAATACTTGTTCAGTATTTTAATGCTTAATGTTCTACATATGATGTTAATACCGGGATGAACTAATTAAAATTCTATGCGAATACATGTGAGGCAATTTATAGTCGTGTAATAAACTGTAGCTCTCGGAGTTTAGGAAGGCTGTTTGTGATATAGACAAACTTCGTAGCTATAACACACAAGCCGCTGTGAACATATAAACTAGGCTTATCTGATTTATAATGGGATCCAACGTGTACCAGATAGCGGATCTGTGTGTTTCGAGAAAACAGATGTCAGCTGTGACTCGACGTCTAGAATCTTATGAAGGAAGGCATGGAATGCTATATGTTCATGTCTTCGCTTTACCCAACCATCAACAAACTGAAAGGAGTGGCTAGTACAAAAGTAATGTTGTAATTTATCGGCATATGAACCATGTCCATCAATACAAAGTACGAGCTTGCATGAAATTGTGAAACTGTTTCAAATGGTACAGTTTCCATCATGTGTCAACTACAAGAATTTATTACACTGAATGACATTGTATGTGGTCTGGTACAGTTACAAATTATGTATCCCATCGGCAAAATTCGACACCGAAATGAACCTAACTTATTTAAACTACACATTTAAAATTTTTGGATATGAAACGGGCGTCCCTCAAAAAGCCATGTACCGTATCATATTTGTCAGTGAAGCATTTCTTCACGTATCTGCATAAATTCTAAGATGAAAGAAATGAAACTGCACAGACTGGTCCATTTTCCATCCTAACTGTTAGTGCGCTTCCCGTAGTTGTAATAGGTCTCGAATCTGTTAAGCCAACGGTTGAAGTTAGACCAGCATCAACAGTTCGCCTAAAATAATTTCTGAAAAAATTTAAACATCAGAGAGTATGAAAACCTTCTCAAAATCAAACAGTTCAGTGACTGCACACGTAATATCTCTTCCGTCCTTCACGATACCTTAGCAAAGTAATTAATGTCATTAACATTATTCACTTACGTTGCAGGCAGAAGTTAAAACAATGCAGATGCCAGTCAACCCATGCTATACAGCGTCTATCTACGTTTTCCACAAGTACCTCGCCAAAACACATGTTACAATCACCTGTTAGTGGTAAACTATTTATTTTGAATTGTTATTCAACGTTTAGTTATACACACTATATCAACGACCGCAGATGTTTTTCAAAACTATCTTTCTTGTCACCCAGTACGACTGTTATTTTCAACATACACTTTTGACGTCACCTACTTGACTGCAAGAATCTGTTCAATTGTGATATAGTCCTTCGATTGCTGCTGGTTTTAATCGCTCACATTCTTCTGTGGGATATTTCATTCATACACTTGTTTGCATTGTGTATATCAAAAGTCGTCGATCTGAATGTGGTTCTCTTCTGCTTCTCCCAGTGTACGTCTTAATTCTTGGCTTGAATGGAGAACAGTCGAAGAGAACAAACTGAAGACACAAAAATTAAACATTATGACCACTCTTCGAAGTGTGGCACCATAATGGTATATGGGCTATGATATATCACTATCAGCGTAACATGCCATAGAACTACATATAAATGTGTGTGATACAACAGACATCTTATTACAAATTCATGGCTCAGGACCCGTTCCAATTCAGATTACTTTAAGAAATTATGACTCTGCCTAGGTGTTTTATACTTTGGACAGAGGATCAGGCCGGTGCAAGGCCTCTGCTTACATAGGACAGCATAACACAGAAAGACGACAAGCATCAATGCCTTGATCGGGATTCGAACTAACATTTCCACTATTCCAACGGCCAAGAGCCACGCCTTAGACACCACGGTCTTTATGTTTGACCGTCATGACAGTGTTTTGGACCTGTTAAGAGGTCCTTTTTTTTTTGGCCGGTGATGCGTCATGTCTGTGCGCCATGGTGATATATAACTCTTGTGTCAAGTTACTGATAGAAGCAACATAATCACAGTTCCGCAGGCGAAGTTTGCCACGCTTGTTGCATATGAATGTGTCTGTTGAGTTCCAAACAGAGTTGTTATGAATCTGAATCAGTGTGGTACATTCGTTCTACTGGACTTTATAGACAGATGTGCGACAGTTAATGTTTATGACCTGGGCTCTTTCTGTTTATTGTGTATACATCGGTGCGATGTACTGCCATTCATTCAAATCAAACAGACAGTATGGTTTAAATATTTCTTCACACTGGCAGTTTTGTTGTTGGTGTCTTTAGAAAGTTTATTTTATCTCATATAAAATAGTGCGCTATATGAGATTTGAGGTTTTCAGATTGGTTCGGAGTTCAGATTGCGCATTAATAAAAGTGTGTGACATTATGGATACACCTTCACTTTATTACAGAGTACTCATATTTCTACGAAGTGTTGTTACAAAATCTCACTATGCCCATAAATATTGCGTTTCATTCTTTATGATGTGCTAGCAAAGTGTCATTTTTTACTCACGTATTTCTTCAAACTACTGAAACCATAAATTGCTATTTTATGACAATCAGGCCTACAGACACATTTTCAACTTGACCACAAAATCAGCCACCGCTTTAGAACTGAACATTCCTCATTACAGACCAGCTGAACTTCTTAAAACTGATAGATGAGACTTAGGGTGCAGCAATAGGTTATCTCCAAATTAAAGTATTTCCATCTATAGTGTGAGTCAAAAGTATGTTTACAAATTTTGTGTGCGTTTTCCTGGATCAAAAATAAGAAAAATGTTCTTATGAACATGTGGTCACAAATGATTATTTTTCAAAATAATAGCCAAAAATAAGCTTCAATGTATGCCTGTATTGCCAAGTATAAAGACAGGAATGTTTCTTTGTAACATATGCTCAAAGGTTCTTCCTCAATTCTCCACACATGCCCTAGCACGACGTACACAAGACTGACGGATTCGTTCGTACACACCAGGGTTTC